GTGCATATGAAGCAATGGGAAATACCATGGCTTGGGTTTTTAAAAAATCATTTTATTAGAGGCTCATACAACTCTTACCACAACCCATACATACATCAATTGTGTAAAGCACATTTGCACATTCATTGCCCTCATCATTCTCAAAACATTTACTCTCCACCTAAGCCTCAGGTCCTCATTTTTCCCCTCCCTCCCTGCTCCCCACTCACTCATGAACTCTTGATAATTTATAAATTATTATTTTGTCATATCTTGCCCTGTCCGAAGTCTCCCCTCACCCACTTTTCTGTTGTCCGTCCCCCAGGGAGGAGGTCACATATATTCCCTTGTAATCGGTTCCCTCTTTCCTACCCACTCTCCCTCCACTCTCCCTGTTTCGCCACTAACATCACTGGTCCTGTAGGGCTCATCCGCCCTGGATTCCCTGCTTTCTTAAGGGAGAGAAGCAAAAAAAAAAAAGAGAGGTTAGTTTCATTTAAAAATAAAAACTGGCCAGTCTTATTGTTCTTTAAGGTCTCCTCCTAATCTGGGGACAAGCAAAATGAAGCCAATTTTGAAAGAGCTTAGGAAAAGTTTTACAAAATTGTGATTGTGACAGAGGTTCCCCCAAACCAAAGTTGCTCTAAGAATTAGAAACCATAAAGCTGTTCTTAACCACTGGCCACGTATTCTTACTCAAAAAAAAAACCCCAAAACATTCAGTAATGGTAATAAGCTAAGTGGGACAAGATGTTCTCAACAGCACAACACAATAAAGTGAAAACTAAAAACAAATATTAAATCAAACAATGAGAATGAAGTTGAGCATTGTGTTATGCCACCATGCTAGAACACAGGACAGTTACGTAAAACGATAGCTAACATGGAATAATCTTTATGGCATAATGCTAAAAGAAAGACATAAATGTATGGACAAAGCAACTATGCAGACAAGATCCAGAAATTAATGGCAAAATACAGCCGTGCTGAAATGGAAGGATTTCGACTTTCTAATTTCTATTCACTTTTTGTTTTATTCCCTTAATTTCTCTGTAATCTATTATATCCTCTGTTGTTACATATGCTTGCTAACCATCCATCTTCTAATTTTTAATATTTGCCTCTTTATCTACCCCTATGCCCTGCATTTATTAGGATGCTTTCTGTACAATACGCATCTTAACGCTTAAGCTCTCTTGTACCCTCACTACTCTTCATGATTCCTTAGCTTCTCTCTTGTTCTTCCTTTCCACTTTGGGGTGCTTACCATCTAGCCTCTTTTCATAGAACCATTGGCATATCTGATCAAAGGGAACATTTGAAATATGACCTCTTCTATAAAGCCGTTGTTGGATCTAAGAGGATGAGTCTGCTGAGAAGGCCCTCAGGACGGAAAAAGGCCACGGGGGTCAAAAAGCTTTATCCCTGTGTGTAGAACCGAAAGGTGGCCCTTAAGACAAGGCACCTGGTTCCCTGACCCCTGGTTCTTCGCTTTACTGCTCAACCGATTTTGTAACCCGTGGCCTATCTTCTAACTAGTTACTCTTCAAACCCACTGGTTGCTTTCTCTACTCCTTGACTGTCTTTCCTCTTCCAGTTTTTTACTACTTCTCTCCATGTATGCTCCTTCCTCAGCACCTTCCAGCTTGCTGTGGGTGTCGGCTGGACGACCACCGGGGCATCCACTGACCCTGAAAAGGACTGGCCTGTGAGGAGGCCAGATAAGGAAACAGCAGTGGCAAAGAGACTGGTAGGGAGACAAGTCCAGGTCACTTAGCAATTCTGACCATTACATTTAGTAGCCCAACAATTTTGAGGGACATACATTTATTTCTAATGACGTGGAGACCCTGTCGGTCACCCAAAGGGAAGCTGAGTTGCCATCAGTTTGTACCATTGGGAACCAGGTAGGGGACCTGAAACAAAAGTCCCTTAGGATCCTGACCTTCAAGGAGCTTAATGGAAGTGCTACCGATTCCGCTGGCGCTTACCCTCGTTGAATTCACGGCTCAGCTCGTGGTTGGGGCACCGTTTCACCACCTCCGTGACGTGTTCCGCTTTTTTGTAGACAGGCATAGCACGGATGACGGCGCCCTGAGGAGGGGGAGTCATGACCTTGATCTGGATGGGGCACGTCTTTGCGATTTGACAGTACAGTTTCTTCAGTTCAGTGGAATACTGCTCAGAGAAGGGGTAGTGGTAGAAATAAGGAAAGAACCAACAGGAAATACTATCACCATCAAATTCAAAGGAACAAAGTAAAACTGATGCCCACGTTTCACAGCCTATCGAGCTGTGAGTTTACCACTGGCCACTAGATTCAAGGCATTCATACATGTATATATTAGTATATGGCGGGATTTTTTTAAGTCTGTAGGAAAAATTCCATTATCTTTAAATCCTATTTTTCCATAAATTAAAAAAATTCCCCTTCCGTGCGTGGAGTGTTTGTGTGTGTGTAAAGAGAAAGAGTTGTATAAAATTAAGTTATTTTGATACTTCCATTAAAGTCACCATTTTGCAAAAAGTTTCACATTTATTATAACACATTTATGCCATTATTCTCTGTTATCTTCTTTTTGGGGATAAACAAGCCAAGACTTAGAGGGACCTCAATCATTAAAGACATGAGCAGCTTTAAAGGTTAACAGACACTAAATGAAATAAAAAAAAAGAAGTTTTCATGTAGGGGTGATATGCAACAAAGAGCTTTCTGCTTAGCAGGCTATAATTAGCCTTGCCCTTACAATATGCTAAAGATATTCATTAGAATTAAGTTTTATGGAATTTTATTTTTGAATATGGAGTATCTGGCAGGCACTGAGCTTTCTACCTTAAGTCAATCAACCATACAATTATAATCAAGAGCTTCCCAAACGACTGCACTTACCTCCCAACCTCACTTCATCATTTCATGAGAGGCAGTGAGAGCTAGGAGAGTCCTTTGCCCTTGTTTGGTTCCTACATGTTCAAGAAAAAGAACTCATCCAATAACAAACTGCCAGTTACTCAGAGAGACCCTGTAAGTACAGTCTGTCTCCGACAGACTTGGCATTGCTATGAGTTTTGAAGGTTGCTGCTTTGGGAATTTTGTTCCAACCTTCCTTCCTTTGAACTAGGATGGAAAGTCTCCTCCGCTTCACAGGAAATTAAGCCTTATCTATCACCCCTGCTCTCTGGGTCAATGCCCCATCAGTACATATATACTCATTCCAATGCTGGGCTGAAAACACCCGGGCACTGAAATTGTTGGCCAAGACTGGTGCACTTAGTAACACTTCTCCAGACAAAGAGTAAATACACACACACACACACAGCAATTATAAATTGGTAACAACAAAAGTAGGGACCAGAATGGAAAAGTGAAGTATTATCAAAATATTCTAACCAAACCAAATTTGACTAAAGACAAATATCCTCACAAAATGCACATGAAAAAGTATTGTTCTATCTGGTGCTTTTGAAATATAATCTTCATTTAAATAATCTTTCTGTCTCTCCGAAATATTTTCAGGTCTATGAAATTTTTCAGTTGAACATTTCCCAATGCTCCAAATGAATTGCATAATCAGGTCTCCATGTCCTCAGGCCAAGGATTAAGCACGGCAAAAGGGTTTTTACATAGTTTGCAGAAATAGGAAATGTGCCAGAAAACAACAGTCACAAAAATAAAATTCAATTTGGGAAACACTGATTCAAATCTAGAGAGAGATGTTTGCTCTCAAATATTTAACTAAGGACATTATGAATAAAGGCGTTGTTGTGGGCCAGGCTATGAACTAATTTTTACTCAAAACGCCGCTGAAAAGGCATAACCATTTGTGTTTTAGTGGGGACACTGACACACTGTCAGCACAAGTTTTGTGACAGGCAGCTTAGGAAAGATGACTGAAAAAGAAGAGTCACAGAAAACACCGCGCAAAAAAAAAAAAAAAAAAGGCAACAAAAAAACAAAACCCTCCAAAGAAGGGAAAAATGCAAAAAAAAAAAAAAAGCTGTAAAAATAAGTGCAAGTATTTAGAGTGGACCGATTTCTTAAGAGAACCATTCCATTTCAATGATTGATATTCCATATTTCAAATTTGAAAGACTAAGTTATAAAATACATAGAAAAAATTAGACACCCTTAGGTACAAATCTGTGCTCATTTTAGGGTGCAGCAGGGAATTTAATGTCTGAATTTAAAGAATAGCTTCTATCATGAAATTAGTTCTGGTGGAAGCAGTGAATCCTTCTACCACTGTGGTGAAGGAATTTCAGCTCTACACTCTCCTAGCTGGATCTCCTGGTGGAGGTGTTTCAGCATTCCAAGAGTTTACACTATGAAAGGGAATAAAGCTCAATGGCTGTACCATCAATACCTCATTCAGGATTTAGGACAGTACTCTGGGTAATCATCTATTAATCTTTCTACAGAATTGATGAATATTCACACTAACTTGGAAAGGGCTCTAAATAGCTTCAGGTCAGTTAGGTTTCAAAACTAAATGAGTTTACCACACACTGATGGGGAAAAAACATGCACAGAGCACCGTTTGGTTTTCAGAGCTCTATGTTCTAATGCAGATCATGATTACAAATGTGCGTCATCGTTTCCATGTTCTAGATATGAGAAATGAAGGCGCAGAGAGGACTTGCCAGGGTCCCACACAAAGGCTGGCTCGTCAGAAGCACAGGCGCATCTGCTTGTTCTTTCTGTGACAACACGCCCTCATTCTCCATTTTCCTGAATCACGGGGACAGTTTTTGTACGAGTTACATTTTCGTTCTAATCCCCAATGACAGGGTTGTCTCTGCGTTTTCAAAGAGTCAATACAGCCTTCTAGAACAATAAACTGGAACTCAACAGGGTTGTACTTAACCTCACATCAAGTTAGCTCTTCCTTATTCCGTGTGAGGTTTGCTCATTTCATTCCAGGGCGAAGTAGCAAGTGCTGAATGGGTAAAACCTCCTGGGGGCGTAATGGTCACTTGCTGGGCTGCTAACTGCATGGTCAGTAGGTGGAAACCACCATGTGCTCTGCAGGAGAAAGAGGGGGCTTTCTACTCTGTGGAGGGTGACAGTCCCAGTTCTATCCTGTCCCGTGGGGTCGCTAGGAGTCAGCGGGGACTCGATGTCACGGAGCAAATTTTTTTGGCATGTGAGGAAGAGGACCTGAACTTTGGTACCAATTGTGGTCACACGTGTTACCATGGCTCACAGAGGGTTTTATTAGGCCCTTTGGGATCTGGGTCCATCTTACCATCCTATCTGCACCCCTCCCCCCATGCTTCTCATTCCATGTTCTTTCCATGGGTGTCTCTTAATGCCACCATATGCCCTAGTTGACCATTCACCATCCAAACATGCATGTTCCCTATCTAGAACACTCTTGGATTTCCTCTGTCCTCCATTCCTTGCCAGGGTAATTTGGATATTGTTCCTCAGATAGAATTCCAGCTGGCACTACAAATCTTGTTTGAGGACTTCATATTTGATTAGGTAAACATATCTGACCAAGGTCAAGATCCATTACATGCACTGCTTTGGGTTAAACTACCAGGCTTGACATTCAGCATTTAGAAAGGGCTAATGTAGTCTGATAGAATTTGTTCTTTGCCAGCCAAGTCTCTGATACTCTACTTGTTTCACTGTTTGAAAATTGATTGTGTGATGACTTGGAATAGTTTGCCAATATTGAATCCAATACTGGCCCATACCTACTGCCAGCAAGGTGGTTCCCACTCAAAAAATGATCCTGTAGGGCAGAGTAGAATTGTTCTGTCATTCTAAGACTGTAAATTTTTACACCACCAGATAGCCTCACTTTTATTTTCCATCAGGTGAGTTCAAACTGCTGACCAGTGCTTGACCTGTGCTACCAGGGCTCCTACTAATGGTCTACAATGTACTAATAATGTAATATATTTATCCTGTGGTCCTTATGCTTTTAAAAATAACAGCTATTCTCATCTTCTCTAATTTGTATAAACCTTTTGGCTTTTAAGTAATTCTAACAACATCATGGACACATGGAAACTCTTGGGAAAAGGAAATATACAATACATTTCCCTTACCCAAATATATACCATACACACTTTAGACACACACCCATACATCCTTATTCACACTGAGAGAATATTATAGTTAATTTGATATTTTTTATTTACCATATCATGAGCATTTTCTAAATCAAAAACATCATTTTAAGTCATTCAATTATATTTTCAAGAGCTATATTGCAACTTATTTATTTAAATATTTTAGTCCACTTAATAATCATTGAAACCAGTACGATATAACACATTTTAAGACATACATCTTAACTAATTTTAGCCATAGATGGAACTTTTCACCTGGGGTCACTGCATGGATGTCTATTTTGTGGTTGCAGGAAAGTCAGAGGACAATCCGGATGGTCTTCCCGTAACTGAAGTAACTGCATGAAATTCACAACTCACTGCCATCAAGTTGACTCCAATTCACAGTGACCCTACCGGACCAGGTAGAACCATCCTTTCCCGAGACTGACTTTGTACAGGAGTAGAAAGCCTCAGTTCCTCCCCAAGACCAACTGATGGCTTTGGACTGCTCACCTCGTGGTCAGCAGCCCAGTGTAACCATTCTGCCACCCAGGTTCTCCCTAATTCCTTGTTAAATTTTGTCTCCTTCTTTGTCTTGGATTTTTAAAGGGAGACTTTTAAACAAATTCTTTTTCTTCATTGAATGTACTTGGCATTTCATGAGTTTTTTCAATGTACATGCTTGAACTAGGAAGATATTTTCCTTGTTTTAAAAAAATTACATTGTTATACTTTCTGCTCTTAGTGATTTCCAGGAAAATGGAAGCTTGACTTTGGAGCCCAATTCTGTATTCACCATATATTTTATACGCTCAAATACTCTACTTGTTGGCACCTTTTGTTTTTGTTTATATCCTAGAAAGCTTCTTAAGCGTGCTCTTATTATGGTTTATGGATGGTTTTCTAGAATTATTTCTTTCTGTTCTATTCAAATAATGATTGTCATTCTTCTATTGCATTTTAGTTTCTTCCTTTAGCTTATCCATCTCCCATTTCACCTAACAGTTATCTCTTCCCCTCAGCACGCTCCCCTAGTCTGATTCTTTTCTCTCTCTCAGGTTTATGAAGTCTCTATTTTATTATTTTGAACTGAAGACAGCTTAAAACTATTTCTT